TGTTGCTTCATCCAAAGAATTTGAGCACAACAACTTCCAGCTGCTATATACTCAGCCTCAGCTGTACTTAAAGCAACACAAGCTTGCTTTTTGCTATGCCATGAAACAAGTGCACTACCTAACAAGTGACAAGTTCCACTTGTGCTCTTTCTATCTAGTCTACACCCAGCAAAGTCTGAATCTGAGTAACCAATCAGACTTAATGAGACTCCTTTTGGATACCAAAAACCAACATTAGTTGTACCTTTCAAATACTTAAGGATTCTCTTTACACTTTTCATATCTTCTTTTCTTCTACACTCTCTGAAGACCGAGGGGAACCCAGAGGAGGAGACCAACCAGATCCTACTCTAGTTTCAACTACTTCTTAATAGGGATGGCAACGGGCGGGGCGGGTTGCGAAAGAACTTTTATAAATAAATTTATGTATAAGCTATTTTTAATTTTAGAGAAGGTTATTTTATTTTTCATTATTATTTTTCTCCTAAAACAGTTTATGAAGAAGTTTGTTCAAGTATATACTTTAAGTTTGAATTGTGTAATAAATTTAATTTACATTTTGTATGCATACTTGGGTGTTTTAAATTATATACAGGGATAACATTATGATAATAAGTTAAATTAACAATTTTGGTAAATGATCAATTTTTGAAAGGAATTACAAATAATAGATGAAATATCAGAAAAATGAATTATAAGCGAACATTCAAAAAATTATACACACTTGTTTCTATAACTTGAAACCACACAAGAATGTTTGATATTAATATATAAATAATTAGCTTTATCTACACTACACTACTTGCTAGTCTCAATTAGCCACACATGGCAACATTATCTAAGCATTAATTACCTCAATTATGTGTATGTCTTATTTTACTCTTGTATACCTATCGCAATATTGTATATATAATTGAATTTTATTATATATACTTACGAGCTAGCTTAATTCTTTCATTTATATTAGACCACAATTTTATCCATAAATGAATCATAAAGTTATATTCTAGCCTTTTGAATTTCTTTACTATATGATAAGTGTTCAAGCTTAATTAGTTTTCCACATAATCTACATTTCTTCTTCTACCTTAACTATTTTCTCAACAGGAAAAAAAAGTCAATTTAGCATGTGTGTTCATAACTAACACTGATGATTATTAAACATGATATAACATGCAGCTGAAATTTACTTATTAAAAGTCATAAGTTCATACCTAAGGCTGATCGATATCTTTCTCCAGCTCCCATTACATTTTAGCTTTTTCACGTGCACAGGTCAATGTCACTAACCCTTTGAAGACCTCTCGTGTGCATGCAAAACCATAATAGCTAGCTGTCAAAATGACCTCATATGGATGCAAAATCACAATTTGAGCTCTGAAATCTATCCTTATCAATTATGATGCAAAACCACAACTTTCTTTGTACCATCTTATTAAGAGGGTCATAGAACCAACAAGCGCTTTTATATACATAAATCGTTATGAATAAATTTAATTCTATTATATCTCTTACTATATATATATATA